TACGCATACATTGGTACATGGGTATAAGAAGATCCAGTATGCATGAATAAAAAATTACACTCGCACACAAGAAAACTGCTGTCTCAGGTCAATATGTATAAGAAAGAGACTCGTGAAATAAAGGTTAATAGCAACTTATGATATTGTGTGGTTTGAAATTATATTTTATGTATCATCACTTTGGATCCATACATTCCCTCACATAGATCCATAGATCTTATAACAGGAGGAAATGGATATATATTCAAATGGGTGAACCACATAGATTGAAAAAGAAAGGGAGAAAACGGAAGGAGATAGAAAGAAAGGGAAAGTTTGTGCAGAAGATTAGGAACTGCAAGATAGGAAGTGATGATCAATGATAGAGAGAAACAAGAACAAAAATAGGAGGGCAGAGAAGGAGTGTAAGGGTACAAGCAGAGCACTGTACCCATAAGAAATATGAGCTAAAATCCCCCAAGGATTTTAAATGGTCCCATTAGGCCAAGTCATTTGAAATTGTTCATACCTGTCTTTCTCCCAAGAAATGGTTGTCTTGAGCTGTGCTATTGAGTTCATCCCACAAACCCTCTCTGCCACAGGTGATCTCCAATGTCTAGAAATGGCAGTTCATGCTGCAGCTTATGATGGATAGCAATGTAAAAGGGTGATAATTCTTTATCTTAAGTTCTGCTATTTGTTTGTAGATAGCAAGAGTCTTATCCCCAAAGGGTTGCATATTAGTTTATTAAGGTACAAGAGCACATGTGTTTTTTATTTTTTGCGCTATAAACAAAAAAACCACGAAAATTTGGAAAAAAAACAATATTTTCTACTTTCAGCTATAAAAAATATATCGTAAACTCAAAGTTAGTCATAAATTTAAGCCAAAATGTATTCTGCTACATGTTTTTTGGTAAAAAAAATCCCAATAAGTGTATATTGATTGCTTTGTGTGAAAGTTATAGCGTCTACAAACTATCGTATAGATGCTGTAATTTATGCCTTTTTTTGCTATACAGCGCTGCACTAATTCAAATGATAATTGCACGGTCATGCAATGCTGCACCCAAACAAAATTTACGTCCTTTTTTTCACACAAATATAGCTTTCTTTTGGTGGTATTTGATCACCTGTGCGCTTTTTATTTTTTTGCGCTATAAACAAAAAAACCACAAAAATTTTGAAAAAAAACAATATTTTCTACTTTCAGCTATAAAAAATATATCGTAAACTCAAAGTTAGTCATAAATTTAAGCCAAAATGTATTCTGCTACATGTTTTTGGTAAAAAAAATCCCAATAAGTGTATATTGATTGCTTTGTGTGAAAGTTATAGCGTCTACAAACTATGGTATAGATACTGTAATTTATGCCTTTTTTTGCTATACAGCGCTGCACTAACTCAAATGATAATTGCGCGGTCATGCAATGCTGCACCCAAACGAAAATTACGTCCTTTTTTCACACAAATAGAGCTTTCTTTTAGTGGTATTTGTTCACCTGTGCGCTTTTTATTTTTTGCGCTATAAACAAAAAAACCACAAAAATTTTGAAAAAAAAACAATATTTTTCTACTTTCAGCTATAAAAAATATATCGTAAACTCAAAGTTAGTCATAAATTTAAGCCAAAATGTATTCTGCTACATGTTTTTGGTAAAAAAAAATCCCGTGCATTAACGGGCAAACTGGCGCTATCTAGGAGGGGCGCTAACACTATCGGAAGTCACCAGTGACACTAATACAGTGATCAGTAAAAATCGTTCACTGATCAGTGACACTGGTGACAGGGCAGTGAATGGGTTAACTGGGGGGGGGAGATTAAGGGGTTAAATGGGATTACTGGGTGTACTAGCGGGCAATCTGGCGCTATCTGGGAGGGGCGCTAACACTATCGGAAGTCGCCAGCGACACTGATACAGTGATCAGTAAAAATTGGTTCACTGATCAGTGACACTGGGTGACAGGGCAGTGAAGGGGTTAACTGGGGGGGGGGGGGGCGTGATCAAGGGGTTTAAACGGGATTACTGGTGTACTGGCGGGCAAACTGGCCCTATCTGGGAGGGGCGCTAACACTATCGGAAGTCGCCAGCGACACTGATACAGTGATCAGTAAAAATTGGTTCACTGATCAGTGACACTGGTGACAGGGCAGTGAAGGGGTTAACTGGGGGGGGGGGGGCGATCAAGGGGTTAAACGGGATTACTGGTGTACTGGCGGGCAAGCTGGCGCTATCTGGGAGGGGCGCTAACTCTATCGGAAGTCGCCAGCGACACTGATCAGTAAAAAATCCACTTCACTGATCAGTAACACTGGTGAGGGGGGGGGGGGGGGGGCCGGGGGGGGGGTGATAGGGGCAGTGAAGGGTTAACTGGAGGGGGGGGGGCGATCAGGGGGTTAAATGTGTCCTAGAGTGTTCTAACTGTAGTGTAGTGCTTGTGTACTCACTTTTTGGATGTCTTCTTCTCTGTCTGGAACGGAATGTGTCCAGGCAGAGAAGAATGACATCATATCCTGCCCTGTGTGTATGTCAACACAGGACAGGATAGGACAGGGACCGATCATGTGATTTCAGCCAGAAATCACTGGCTGAAATCTAATGATTGATCCCTCCTGGATCAAATAGTGTCACCCCCGGGTCGGCGGGAGCGCGCGCGCGCGCGCCCCCTGCCGGCGAAAGTGTCGGGAGCGCGGAACCCGTTTTTAAACGTGGTTTTTGCGCTCCACTGCCGCCCTGCACACGTATATACACAGTGGCAGGGCGGCAAGCGGTTAAAGTGTCATTAGACACAATAAATGCTGTATTACATGTTGTTCATACTCAGTCACTATGGAATTCGTTTTCTGTATTCTGCAAAAAGGCTGGTTGAATGTGCTGTTCTCTATCTTCCTCTCCTGTCCATGTCCTCTCTGCAGTTGGGCTTTTGCAGAGCATTGTTGGCAGCTAGTGCACATTCTCAGTTTTCAGTTTATTTCTACCTTGAGTATTTCCTTCCTATCACATCTGAGCATCCCATGTGACCATAAAAGTCACACATGTGGCCATATACTCAGTGGTAAATGACAGCCCTCCCTCCTCCTCCATGACCACTAACCAGCTAAATACAATGTGGGTGGAAGACACAGGCTGGAGATTTTTACTCTGTATTCCAAAGGTTGTTTTTTTAATTATTATTAAATGTGAGGACTAGAGACTTTTTCCCTGCAGACAGGCTGGGAAAGAGCTGGGTCATGTGAAAGCTGTATATTGATTAAGAAAAAGCCATGAAAATTTTTTGTAGAAAGTAAAGGGAGAAGCTCTGTAACAGGAGACAATTTATTGTCTTGGAGTTTAGTGTTTTCTTGTGCCTGTAGGACGTAGGGTGTGTGTAAAGCAAAAGGAAAACCAGGGTTGTAGTTGTAGAATATAGGTTTCCTGATATGTATTCAGGCTCGAAGTCCAATGAAACAGCAGACTAGTTTGTGGTTTTAAACAGGCCTGGTTTGGTACACAAGTAGTGGAAGCAGTATAGGAGTGAAGTAGAAGTAAGAATGATAAAGAGTGGTCAGTGGATTTGCAGCTAAGGGTTGGTAAACTGGTTGAGCAGTTTAACCACTTGAATACTGGCATCTAAATATCCCTTTATTACCAAAACATTTTTTAGATTTTTCGATCGTGCAACACTGTAATTATACACTTTATATATATATTCAATTTTGGAAAAAAAACTTACTTTCTGTTATGAAACATATCAGTTAAAAAAACTAGGACAGTAAATGACTCCTTTTTGCAAAGTAGTGATCATATGTTGTGTAAAAGAAAAAAAATCTGATACTGAGGGTTAGCGCATGATACTTCATAATGGTGCATGGGTTAATTTACAGATCACATACAGTGGAAGTATAGCGATGAGGAGTTAATGTGAAGGTTAAGGTATGTGAAAGAGGTTAATATACTGATCTCATAGAGACAGGATGCAGTATTAATTTTTCAGAAGAGAAGGGGGTGAAAGATTTAAAAATGATCTCCCAATAAATTAATTTATTGAATATCTGCTACTGTTGCATGTGATATAGAACTAATGAATGAATGATTAATGTATTCATTCATTAGCTAATCCTTCCTCCCTTTCCTGCATTGTTAGAAGAGAGGGTGAGCTATTAGTTTATCTACATGTGATTGATCATCACAGTGATCACAAGGTACAGAGCCAGTTGGATCAGGGACAAGTTCACATAGCATTAATGGGCGCACCGGCAGCCCAAGATTTTATTTATTTCTGCACTGGAGTTTCTAAATGGCAGCACAGAAATACACATCCACCACTTAGTCATTTGAACAGGAATTCCAGTTACAATAAAAAGAATTAGCATATACATTTGCCACACAAGACATTTTGTAACGTGTTATTAAAATTACCTTTCCCCTTCAATCTGAAGCTGCTGTATATATATATAAAACTGACTAAACATATAATTCAATATGGCAGCCTGGAGAAATTGTACAGAACACCCCCCAGAAATGTTATTTCCTGCTTGTCTGATTGGCTCAGTGAATTTCTGAGACATCTGCACTAAGAAACAAGTAACATTTTGGGCACCCTCTGCGAATGAAATTTCATTTCTGGTGAGATAAGGGTTAATTACTTCTAAAAGGATGCAGACATTGCAACTTTCCTAATTAGAACACTGAAAATGCACCAGCTGATTATAATGAATCAGATCCTCTCATCCAAGAATCAGTCTTGAAACAAACAGGTATTTCTTCAGAATAGAAAAAGACAGGACTCTGCTACAAATTTGGTAAAATAATTGTACATAGATCACCTATGTTTTTTTTTTCTCACAAGAATGAAGTTACACTTTAACCACCTCCCGCTCGCCATATAGTCCAATGACGGGCGCAAGGTGGTTCTCTTGTTCTGGGAGGACGTCATACGACGTCCTCCCATTCTCACCGCGCATGAGAGGCTCAGGGACTCAGTGCGCAGCGTGGCGATCGGCAGTGCGCTGTGTCCCTCGGACACAGCGGATCACCGATCACGGAAAAAAGCCAAAGATGTCGGCTCGGTCATGTGATCAGCTGTGTCCAATCACAGCTGATCACATGTAAACAGGGAAATGCCGGTTATCGGCATTTCTCACCTCTCGAGCTGTCACGCTGACAGCTCGAGAGAAGAGGAGAGCCGGTAATCGACTTTCCGCAGAGGGGACATGTACACTGGTCATCAAGGCCCTGATGATCAGTGTAGCCCCAGCAGTGCCACCTGTCAGTGTCTATCAGTGCCTTGTGTCATTGCTCATCAGTGCCTCGTGCCAGTGCGCATCAGTGCCACATCATTGCCACATATCTGTGCCTACCAGTGCACATCAATGCCACATATCAGTGCCCATCTGAGCAGCCTTTCAGTGTCACCCATCAGTGCCAATCAGTGCCACCTATCAGTGCTGCCAATCAGTGCCACCTATCAGTGCTGCCAATCAGTGCCAGTCAGTGCCGCCTATCAGTTCGCATCAGTGCCACCTATCAGTGCCGTGCCAGTGTCGCCTATCAGTGCCAGTCAGTTCCGCCTAACAGTGCCAGTCAGTGCCGCCTATCAGTGCCATATATCAGTGCCATGTATCAGTGATGCCTTTCAGTGCCCATCAGTGATGTCTGTCAATGCCCATCAGTGCCACCTACCAGTGCCTCCTCATCAGTGCCCATCAGTGCCACCTATCAGTGTCCATCAGTGCAGCCTATCAGTGCCCACCACTGCAGCCTCATTAGCGCATATCTGTGCAGGAGAAAAATCACTTATTTACAAAATTTTATAACAAAAACTAAGAAAAAAAACGTTTTTTTCCCAAAATTTTCAGTGGTTTTTGGTTTGTTTAAGAAAAAATAAAAAACCAGAGGTGATTAAATACCACTAAAAGAAAGCTCTATCTGTCACAAAAAATACTAAAAATTTCATATGAGTACAGTGTTGTATGACCGCGCAATTGTCATTCAAAATGTGACAGCGCTGAAAGCTGGAAATTGGCCTGGGCAGGAAGGGGGTATATAGTGCCCTGTAGGCTAGTGGTTAAAGATGTTTGATGGCAGTAAAGAGGTTAAAGAAAGATTTTGGAGGTAAAGCCTGGAAATGGTACAGAATTTTGGGAAGTATTTACATTTTATTAAAGTTTATCCTGCCAATGCATAAAAAAAAAGGCTCATAAGATTGGAGACATTGTGGGATGGTTTGTTGGAGAGGATGATAATTTATATTCACAAGTTTGGAGATCGTTCAGGATATGGACTCCTAAATATTTAATTGCAGAGGATTGCTAGTGAAAATGAAAGTTGGTGTGTAACTGTGATTGAATTCTAGGGGAAAGAGAAATATTTAAAGCTTATGTTTTGCTGTAGTATACTTTAAAGCTACTTAAGCCCATGAATTTCTAGAATGATTTATTAATGAGTGGAATAAAGACGTCATAAAGTAGTAGGCCAGCCGCATAGATAAACATTTTATAACAGTGGTCCTTAATGGTAACCGTGTATGATGGGGTTATTATGTGTAATAACAGCTAAATTCTTCAAGGATACATAGAAGAGCAAATAGAGGGCAACCTTCTTGAGTCCCATTTTTAATCTGTATTGGATCAGATAGCACACTATTTTTGTGAATTCTGGCTGTGGGGTTATGATAAAGGGCTAGAATTTTTCTGAAGAATATTAAAACCCAGACCAATTTGAATTGGAAAATAGAATGCACCAAACTAAGCTATAAAATACCTTTTCGTCACCTACAGAAATGTAGTTAGCTGTGCTTGACCTTTTCTGAGCATATTTGATCAGGAATAAAGATTTGAATCCATTATCACGGACTTCATGGGCTTTAGTGAACCCCACCTGATCAATATAAATTAGATCAGGGATGATCAGTTTCAATCTACAGTATTAGTTACAATTTTAGAGTATTTCTGAATATCAGCTACTGAGAGTGGTCTATAGCTGTCTGTGGCATATTTTACCAGTTTAGGGAGTGCCATGGCTTCCATAGTCTAAATGGAGAAGCATTGGGGATAAGCAGGAGCAGACCAGGACACTGGGGTCTACCAGTCAAAAGGAGCGCCATGAATGTGTCATGAATAATTTAACTTAGCTATAAAGTGCTGCCTATCGGGTGTGGTTTACAGGGGAATGGTTAAATAGAGTCTGAACTTACTCACAGTACATAGTAGACACTTCCCCCCACTCCCTGCAACCACATGCACAACTCTTCTCTTTATCAAAGCTCACCTATGCACTCCCAGCATCATGTCCAAGGCTCGCCACTGTTTCATGGTTTACCTCTGGCAGCTCCTGCCCCCTTCACTTTCCCCAGCCGTCTCCTTGTTTCCAGCAACTGGACTGGCATTTTGCCACCTGTGTTGTGTGGCCATGGGATTTTCCACTTGTGCATATGCTGCTGTCACCTGCCAGTTGTATAGTGTAGTTAGAGCTTCTTAGCAGACTCACTACAACTTCTTTTCAGCAATGAATTAAACATTGTTGGCAACAATGTCCAATGCTCTTATCCCCCCTAAATATACAGCCCAGAGTGACACATGCTTTAATTTACAACTTTTTAGGTTGTCACTTAAAGAGCCTAATCTTCCCTCTGTAAACACAGCAGGCCAACCTTCATGATGTTGCTCAAATGCCCACCCTCTGAAAATGCCAAGTAGTAGCATTTTCAGAAGTCAGCAGTAACAGCTAATGTATTTCTCTTTTGTACAGGTTTTGTTTAAAAATGTAAGTCCAACCTACAAGTATGTATAACAAGATGATTGCAAGTAGGTTTATTAGACAAAACACATTCTCGGTGAGTCTTCCGGATTCAGTTTCGCTTTGTATACTTTAGGCTTGGCTTTCCTGTTTTTGGGCTAAACCATACCCAAAAGCCATCATCCTGCCCAATAGGAGCACATCAGTGGCCATTAAAGGCATGGTTATTGAGCAGTGTAAAAACAAGTGGGTGCGGCTAAGCCAAAAGTTCAAAAAATTCAAGGAATTAGTAAAATAAAATGAAATTAAATCAGGGAGGTGCATATGGGAGACCTTTCTGGCTAATAAAGGTATTAACCTCCCTGGCGGTATGATTATTTCAGATTTTTGGTGCTGAAAGCGGTACCATTTTTTTTGCATGGAAATATGTATTTTTTTTATTGTAGGCTGTAATTTTTAGGAAAAACTCACTGAAATCTGTCCGAACAAGAGTCTAGTAAACACATCCCGGGTATGATAAAATTTGAAACACAAAATCATAAATTATAATTTAATAATATAATCATAAAAATAATATAAAAATAATAAAAAATTTAATTCAATAATATAATCAAACCAAAAACACTGAAATGTGAAATAGAGCGCCAAGTTCGCACATTGCTGAGCTCAGTCGCAAAATCGTTTTCAGTTTCTGATGACGAATTTCCCCCACGAATCATTATCACTCAATTCTGCAAATGGTTCTGATTTACTATCACTGTTCTCTAGCTGATCTAAACCGCTTTTGACCTAAAGGGACACTTTTTGGACGCCATGGACATTTCTCAGTTTCCAGGCAGAAAGAACAGACAAAATGCAGGCAGGGCACAGGACAAAGCACTAGGGACAATATGCATGTGAAATAGGTTGAAACAGCAATGTTTTACTGTGTAAAATGAAAAAAAAAAAAAAAGACATTTTTTAAAATTTTTAAATTTCCCGCCGCCGACGGCGGCGGCGGGCGGCGCCCGTACGTCCCGACGTCACACAGGGACAGGACACAGAAGCCGGATGCCGGCATCGGCCGGAGGAGATGGCCGGGGACGCTGCAGGGGACACATCGTGGGAGCGCAGGGTAAGGTAAGTGAAGAACACATCCCGGAGCAGTGCCGCATGGTATTCCCGAGTGTAGCTCGGGGTTACCGCTTTTGGTACTGAAATGTTACCCCGAGCTACACTCGGGAATACCGCCAAGGAGGTTAACCAAAACCTGCCTTAAGCCTGGTGCAGATCTGCATAGAAACCAATCAGCTTCTAACTTAAGCTTGTTGAATTAAGCTTTGACAAAGAAAAGCTGAAACTTGATTGGTTTCTATGCAGAGATGCACCAGATTTTGCACTCCCCATTTTTAGTAAATCAACCTCTTTATGTCAAGAAAATATACTTTTTCAAATGGGATGTTGTAATTATTTACAAAATGTACTCAAGTGCTGGTTTGTGTTTCCACCTTTAGACTTGTAGGTATACTTACAAAGGATTATTTGTGAATCCTTTCTGCAGTTTGGCCAAGTGATGGTATTCACCTGATATACAATAGTCACATTCACCCTATTTATAAAAAAAAATTCAGGAATAGCCTTGTTTAGCCTGCAGGAAAATGTACCATCAGGAGCTCTCCGTAGTGCTGAAAATGTGTTTATACAGAGGAGAGGTTTTTTTTTTTTTTTACAACTACATGCTTTGCCCATTGCTAACCCCAACCCTGGACTAGAGGCATGCAAATTGGTATCCCCATAGCAAGGGACTTTTTCAGTGGATAATGCAAAGATTCAAAAGCTAATCTAAGTACATTACAAATGGATTGATGATAGAATGTCAGGTGAATGTGCATGAAAGGTAATATTTAGGCCTGTAAAAACATGTGGTTGAGCCACGGTTTCACTGCCCCTCGGCTGCCCACCTAAAGTCCACAATACAGCTAGGTGGGCTGTTTGTCTCATGGTTACCTCACGGTTGTGGCACTTTAGCCTCATTGTAAATTTTCATTTGTTAAAAAAAAGTCATCCAAGAGGCATTAGGATCTCTTCCTGAAAGCCGGAAAAGCAATCCACCATGCATCAGATAATGGACCAGTGTGAACTTAGCTTAACTCCTTGGTAAATAGACACTTCCAAACAGCGACATACCCGTACGCTGCTGGACTTTGAGTGGTAGATGCCCATAGCTACATCCAGTGGTTGGTTTTCTTGTAAAAGCAATCTTAGCGACTAACTAGTAGCTGGACTGCTTTTAAAAGCCACCTTTTGTGGCTCTCCAGGGCTCTCCTTTCCCACCAGTAGACCTGAGTGTTCAGATGGAGGTTCCACTGGCTGACCATAGAGCTGATCGGAGGCCAGAACAGCTCCAATCATTTCTATGGACTAAGAAACCGGAAGCGGTGAACATTTAGTCACTTCTGGTTTCGCCGGTTGTAAACAAACCCTTAGGGGTTTTGAATAAAGCATTGTATCCTACCGATCTTGGTATGATCTGAAGCTCTATAGGGCAGAGGAGAGATCTTTGGTCTAATAGACCTCTCAGTAAAGAGTACCTGTCAAAGCCTATTGCTATGACAGGGGATATTTATATTCCCTGCAAAAACAATAAAAGTAAAAAAATGTAAAGGGGCAGTGTAAAAAAAATTATTAAAAAACTTGAAGCACCCCCATTCCCCTGTGTCTCACTCGCAAAGGCGAACACATTAGTCGATTCCCTAAACAGCAATTGCAC